CTAGATTCTATCCCCAAGAATAACAGCAACAAAATCAAGATGTCCTTAATTGACCTTGGTGTATGTTTATTTATTTATTTTAGGTTTTGGAGACAGGGTCTGGCTATGTAGTTCGGGCAGGCCCTGAACTCATTACTTAGCTCACACTGGCTTCTAACTTGCACTGATTCTCCTGCCTCAGCCCCCAGAGTGCTAGGATCACAGGTGTGCACCACCACGCTTGGCTTCACTGTGCCTTTAATTCAAAGCGTGTTACATAGACTTGGCAGCATTTTGTGTCAATTGCTCATAGGTGAAGGACTCACACCACCTAGTTGTACTTACAAACTCAAGTTTTATCTATTTGTAATAGATAAAATGGCATGGTGTCACAGGCCTGTAAGCCCAGCCCTCAGGAGGCTGAGACAGGATTGCTGTGAGTTTGAGGCCAGCCTGAACTATGTAGCAAGACCTTGTCTCAAAAAAAAATTATCATTTCTGCTTCTTTACAAATACAAACTCATAATCCTTTGCTTTTCCAATAACCTGTGAGATATGATTGATTGGAGGCAGCATGTACCTCCCACGGGAGCTGAGCCCAGAAGGCCCACAGAACCCCAACCCTGAGCCCTCCCCAGAGCCTGCCTTCATTGGCAGGATCTGTTCTGTGCACATGCGCGGCAGGAGGCTGTGCGGAGCAGCAACCCTCTCCTCCCGGGGCCCCCCCTCCTTGTAGTGGGGGTGCTGCCGAGCTTCCAGGCCACATCTGTCTGGCAAATCCTTGGTCTCTGTGCCAGAGGTCAGGGGCGCAGGAGCACAGGCCATGGCGGCCCCTGAGGTGATTTCCTTGGCAACTGGAAGACGGGGCATCTGCATCTACAGCCCCAGAAGTAGAGCCTGTCTGTGCAGCACTCGGAGTTGTGGGAACAAGCAATGAGCTCAGAGGCTGGGAGATGGGGTCCCAGCTTCTCCCCTGGGAGGCACAGGGGTGGCAGGGTAGGTGGTTTGGGACCACTGCAAAGCCTGTCAGTCCTGTCAGGAGCTGGCTGCATCATCTGCATATCTCCCTATACTTGATTGACGATTGTCTTTTTTTTTTAAGTTTCTTTCCATTGTCTCCTTTCTATTCTGCTAGCATGGCCCTACCCTGCCCACCTCCAGCATCATTTCATTTCCTGAAACCGTGCTTCCTAGTTGCTACAGGAAGGATCCTGAGAGTTCTTCAAAGGCTTGCTCTCCAGCCTGACGCTGCTCACAGGCTGTGGGACCTGGAAGAGATGGGGCCTCCTTCGAGGTCTCAGGTCACTGGCGACAGGACCTCATAGGGACTGTGGGGTGCCAGTCCCTTTCTGTCCCTCTCTTTGCTTCCTGGCCACCCTGAGGTGAACAGCTCCTTCTGCCCCGTGTCCCACCATGACGTGCGGCCTTGCCTCAGGCCCACAAGCCACAGAAACAAGGGACCCTGAAGTGGAACCTCAAAACTGTGAGCCAAAATGAGCCTTCCCTTCTTTAAAGTTCACAGTCTCAGGTATTTGTTACCGTACCAGAAAGCTGGCTAACACCGGGCTGAATGATTTTGGACTTCCTGGTAGATAGCATGCTTCTTAACGTAATGTTTATTCGTGGAGCACCTACCCTGGTGCTGTAGGAGACAGGTGAGGAGACCTATATGACACAGGCCATCTCCTCCGGGAGTCTCCAGTCCAGCTGGGGTGGTGGGCAGGTGACGCCCTCATGACAGCAGATAAGGAAGGTACAGGATGTACAGGATGGAATTCTGTTCTTCCCTATTGCAATCCAGAGGTGACACTCGGATGACCGAGGAAGAATCCCCCGCCCTTTCTTTCTTCTGTGTGTGGTACTAAAGATTGAACCCAAGCCCTTTACACTGAGCTACATTTCTACCTTTTTCTTTTTTCTTTTTTTATTCTGAGACAAGGCCTCACTAAGTTGCTAAGTTGCCCAGGCTGGGCTCAAATTTGCAACCTTTCTGCCTCAGCCTTCCAGAGTGCTGGGATTATAGGGATGTGGCCCTGTGCCTGCCTTAACAATTTCAAGCTGGGTTAATACAATGGTTCTCAAACTTTCTGGTCTCAGACCCTCTTTTATACTCTTAAAAATTTTTGAGCATCCTAAACAACTTTTGTTTATGTGAATTATACAGTATCTGTTGATCTATGTCCTATATTAGATATTCAGAAATTTTGAAAATGCAAGACTACTTGGGCCAGGGATTTAGCTCAGTGGTGCCACGCCTGCCTCGAAAGCACAAGGTCCTAGATTCAATGTCCTCTCCGAGGTGGAGGGAATTGCAAGACTACTTAACATACATTAGCACATGTGCCTTTGTCTCTCAGAATGTTGTCTCACACAAGACATGTCACACAAGACATGGCGTCTGGAGAAAATGAGAATGGAACAGACAGATGAGGCTGGGGATGTGGCTCCGTAGCAGAGCACCTGGTGCACCCAGGGCCCTGGGTTCCAGCCTCAGCACCGGGAGCTACCTCCCCAGAATGTGCTATTTTAATTTCTCTGTGCACAGATGAAAGCTTCCTAAGAAAGTAAGTGAAGATACAAATTCCCCGATGAATGTTATCATGTGATAAAATGAATTTTTTTCTCATCTGTCACTTCTAATACAATGAAATTTTTAAAAAGAGTGAAGACTAAAATAAGCCTGGGGGCTTATGTTCCATTTTCTTTTTCTTTTTTTGGCCCCAGGAATCCATCTCAGGGCCTTGTGCTTGCCAGGCAGGTGCTATACTGCTGAGCTACATTTCCAGCCCTTATGTTCCATTTCATTTTATTTTATTTTCCATTTTAACAATGGTGATAAATACAGAAGTTAGAAGATGAGGGAAGTGGCCTGAGGCTTCACAGCAGTAAGTTGCAAGCTGATGGAAGGCTGTGTGTGCACACCTGTCCTCTTGGCTCCTTTCTGTCCCAGTGATAAAGGTTGTTTGTAAGGTATGGAGCAGAGAAGTGTCAGAGATTTAGCTCAGTGGTGCCACTACCTGCCTCACAAGCACAAGGTCCCGAGTTTGATTCCCGTATCAGAAAAAAAAAATTATGGAGCAGAGAGAGGGACACCTTCACAAGGGAACCTTGTTCTGCTTTCAGGGGGGTAGGAGGAGGACAAAGACCCCTTCCTTACTTGCTGCCTCTTTTGTATGTTTGGTGGTGCTGCTTCTTTGCCTTCAGCTCAAAATTACACTGAGGCCACAGTGGCATATTCTGGGGCAGCATGTTCTGCTGTGCTCCAGTGAGCTGGTGCTGTGGGTGCTGCTGAGCCACCCTGGATGCTGCCTTAATGGTACCCACGTTCTCCCCTCTGATCCTTCCTGGGAGCCCTGAGCTTCTGGCCAGGGCATCTCCCTCCCCCTGAGCAAGTGAGCTCAGCGCCCTGGCTGGGGACAGCCTTTTTGGGGAGTGTGTGACTTTCCAGGTGTCATGTAGAGCATCAGAGGAAACAGCAGAGCCAAGGCCAATAGGGCCAAGTTCCCACTCACCCCACTTCCTCCAACTCCCAGACTGCAGAACAGGACCCAGAGATCAAAGAGCAGAAAGCTGGCTGCTTGTGCTTGTCTAGGGAGAAGATGGGGCCCAGGAGGCTGCCTGGAGACCATGGGCAGCCCCAGAGAGGTGTGGCTGGGGCACACAGCCGGGAGGGAAGGAGAGGTCCTGCGTGGGGTGGAGTGCAGTGAGGCCAGCTGCTGGTCGGAAGAGAAGGCAGGGCCCCCTGTGATGCCAGGCAAACCAGAGCTGACTGTGAGGAGAAGGGGTTGTCCCTCTTAGGAAGCAGGACAGTTCTTGGCTTTCCTGTTTCCCGTTGGCCTCAATTCCTACACCCTGTCATTCGGCCCTGGGCTCCATGGAGGGTCACCATTGCTAAGTCAGGACAGGCAGCCACCTCTGACTTCATCCAGTTGCAGTGTGACACCACACACTTCTACGGAGCGCCCGTTCTTCCTCCTTGGTGTTATCAAGGTGGGTAGGAGCCAGGGGCACGGTGCACTCCTATCATCCCAGCTCTTTGGGAGGCTGAGGAAGGAGGATCACAGGTTCAAGTCCAAGCCTGGCGACGTAGTGAGATCGTGTCTTGGTGTTAGAAATAAAAAAGGGCTGAGGATGTAGCTCAGTGGTAGAGCTGGAAATTTAATCTCCAGCAGCACAAAGAGCAAAAACAAACGAAAAAGTGGGAAGGGTGCCAAGTCTCGGGGGGAGCTACCTTTTCTTATTTGTATCTGTCCATCCCTTTGAAGAGAGGTCCATGGAAAGAAATGGAACCCCTACGTATTGTTTCTCCCTATCTTCACCCTAAAATCTCTGCAAAAACTCCTACCTCTTGTCCTGACCCTGAACGGCCCACGCACACTGCCCAGTGGAGTGGGATTAAGACCTGGCCCAGTGGCAGGGAGGGCAGAGGGCGCTGCAGAGGGTGGCACTCGGGGCCCCCCCCGCAGCCCAGTCCTGGCAGTCAGAGTACCCAACAGCACCCTGCCCGTGTGGTGTGTGTGTGTGGTGCTGGGGATGGAACCCGGGCACACGCGCTAAGCACTTCTCTGCCCCTGTGCTCACCCCAGCCCTGAGGGGCTCTGCACTCCGCCTCCTTTTGCATCTCTTCCTCCACTCAGCATCTTTTCCTCTGTCTTGCCCACTGCCCATCCCCAGCTCTCTGGACTGTGTCCTAACCATGTCCCACTTGGAGTCCCTGGTGGCCATGCTCATCCTGGAGCAGGAAGCAGAGGGCAGGCAAGAGTGACGTGGGTCTGGGGGGTCACTCTGGCTGCACCCTCGCCCTGCGGCCCTGGTCTCCATTTGTCCCACAAGTCCAGGCACAGCTGAGGCATGGCGCAGGCAGGCAGCTCGGCCTGGTGGCATTGGGGGCTGCCAGGGGGTATACGACTTCTCCAAAAGCAGCAAGGAGCAAGTCAGAGGGCTTGGGAGAAACTGAACAGTGGTAAGGTGACTCCTTCTGCTCCTCCCTAACATTGGCCCGGGCTGTCCTCTGTGCCCAGGTGTATGAACTGGACGGGCAGATCCATGATGCGCTGTGGATGGTGAAGGCTTATCAGGAAGCAGTTGTCAAGTTTCGAGCAATTCACCCAGAATTTATGGGACTCAGACTCATCCTTTCAGAGAGCAAGTATGAAATATGGCTGTGATGTGGACAGAGCCACAGGGCTGGGAGGAAGAGGAGAGGAGAAGGGAGGGGGGGCACTGAGAGGAGACCCCACAGTCCACACTGCGGAGCCGGGGCTTGGCAGGTGCCTGTGTGTTAGGGTCCTTCCCTGAAATCCCCAGGCTGTGACACCACACTGACCTAGGTGACTCTGGGATGGGTGTGATGTTTTTGCTCAGGTGTTTGGATAAAACTGGCCCTTGTTTTTGTTTGGCCACAGGGGTTCTGCTAGTGTCTGCTATGTGCCATGTGTGCCTTCATGTGAGGTCTTCACTGGCCGCAGCCCTGGGTGACACTGGCCGGGCCTGTGGGTGGAGACTCTCTGAGCTGAGCCCTGGGCCTGTGCAGCAGTTGGCAGGAGGGGCCTGCGGGCACCTGTAGTCCCTCCCACGGCCGGTAGAAGGTGGAGTGAAGGCAAAGCTGAGGGGATCCAAGCCCCAGCCCCTTAGGCTCTGAAGGAAAGGCCAGGCAGGACAGCTTACCCCCCTCAGGGTGGAGGGCTGGAATAAGTGACCTGGTGGCTGGGGAGAAGCCCTAGTGGTGTTGAGGAGTCATGCCAGCCTTTTGTCCCTTGGTGCGTCTGTCATGTGGCTGCCTGCCCCTGCCCTGGACCTGACAGGAGAGGTGGAGGGGGCACCAGCTCAGGTACAGGCTCTCTGGGGAGCCTAGGGGCCTGCTGGCCTCATCAGCACATGGCTGTGCAGTCCGCCCTCACCCCCCCCCAGGGCCTGGTCAGGATGGGGTCACATGGCCAGTAGAGCCCAGGATGGGGGGAGCCAGCGACCTGGGCTGTGGTTCGGTTCCTGCATGTCTCCCAGCCTCCCTATCTCTCTCTCTCAGATCCAAAAGTGTGGCTCTCGTCACGGACGCCATTGTGCAAACCATCATACTGCGGCGGCGCTTCCCCGACATGGTGGCGGGCTTCGATCTGGTAACCGACTGTGATCAGAAAGGCCACCTGAGGAGGGGCCGCGTGGGTTGCTGTTTGTGAAGGGGACACCTGGGCTGAGCAGTCCCCGCTCTTCCCAGACCCTCGCAGAGTCGCACAGACCCCTTTGGGGATGGGGACGCAGCTAGGAAAGGCCAGGGGAGGACAGAAGAGCCAGGCGCTAAAAACGAGTTCAGGGTGGCAAGGATTCGGGGAGTTCAAGGATTCAGCAGTTGTGGGGGCTCCCCGAACCTCACCTTCTGCCCTGTTTTCTGCCCATGTTGGCCTGTAAAGCTGTCACCACCCCCGTAGCACACAAAAGAAAATTTGAGAGATGGGGGAGCCCTGGGCAAATTCTTAAGGGTGTGACTCTGCCCCTCTCCTCTAACTCATTTGCCTATCTATCATCTATCTATCCTCTATCTATCTATCCTCTATCTATCTATCTATCTTCTCTCTGTTTGTTGGTTTTGTTGTTTTTTGGAGACAGGGTCTCCCCATGTAGCTCAGGCTGGCCTCGAGCTCTCGGCAATCCTCCTGTCTCAGCCTCCAAGTGCTGGGATTCCAGGTGTGCACCACCACACCCAGTCCACCTCTATGGATTTTGTGGTGCTGGTGCTGGGGAGGATCCTAGGGCCTCCCAAATGCCAGGGAAGCTCTCCACCACTGAGCCCCACCCCCAGCCCCTTTCACTTTTTTTTTGGTACTGGGGATCGAACTCAGGACCTTGTGCTTATGAGGCAGGTGCGGTGCCACTGAGCTAAATCCCCAGCTTGTCTCTTGTTTCTCCAAGTTGGTCTCTTTCTGAAGATCTTCCCACACTTCACCCCAAACAGCTCAGGGCCAGGCAGGGGGAGAGGTGGTGTGAGAAGAGAGGGCAGAAGGGCCACGGGGGACTGCAGATGTGGCTCACTGGCAGGCGGCCGGCTTGGCATGTGTGCGGGCACCAAAGAGAGGAAGGGCCGAACTACTTTTCCTTCCCAACTCTGCTACAGGGGCTCCCTCTGCAGTCCAGTGGGCCTTGACCTCGCTCAGTTGTTCAGGCTGGCCTTGAACTCCCTATCCTCCTGCCTCAGCCTCCCGAGTGCTAGGCTGATAGGCATCCCACACCCAGCTGCTCCTGGTCATTCTTTTTTTTTTTAATTTAATATATTTCATATATTTTTAATTTCATATATTTCTTTTTTTTTTATTAAATTCTTTTATTGGTACATTTCAGGTATACAACACAATTACATTCCTCACTGGGAATTGTACCTCTACATAATGCATCTTGGTTCTTATTGTTTCCCCATTCCTAGCTCTCCCTTCACCCCCTCCACCCTTCCCTATTTACAAAGACTTTATTTCCATTTTTTCCATTTCTCATCATTTTTCCTTT